ATATATATATAATATTTATTTATTATAATTGCCTTGAATGCAGTTGCCATCACTTCCATGACTTATATTTCCAGGTAAAACTATATTTTTAACATCGTCTGTTTGGCTGAATGGTTCAGAATTGAATCAGTAGTGTTTGCACACATTTTTTTTAGTGCATTGATATGAGTAATATTTCCATTAGATGATCAACTGTCCTGCCAGTGTGACTGATAAATGCAGAGCACATTATAATTCAACACACTGCGCGTCATCACATATCGGTTATTTTTCCTGGAGGCATATTCGCTTCTCGCTTTATTTGCTCTTCAATTTATGTCCTTAGCAGATGCTTTCTTACCAAAGCTATATTCTTTTAGACTTTGACAGTGGTAATGATAACTATGATACAACAACTCAACATTATGTTTAACATCAAAATCTATAAATGTGCTTGTTTGACAAACATTTCACTCTCCGGGCATTAATCCAGTTTGGTTTTTAACTGTTTGATTTGACTGTTATATTACCTGTAGTTTTGTCAGATATCAATTCTGCCCCCTTGTGGTCGTTTATTGTATTATTGTACAGTCTGTTGGTTTCTTTGTTGCAGAATCAGTTGATTCTTGGTGTCATGGGTGTAGACATCGCCCTCAATGAAATTAAAGAACTCACACCGCGGTATAAGGTAAGTGAAATAAATCACTTTTTCTGTCACTTTTCTTTTGATCATCAGTCTTTAATTTGCATCTCTGTACACAGCTTGGAGCCAATGGTTACACGTTTGCCATAGATCCCAATGGCTATGTGCTGCTGCACCCCAACCTACAGCCTAAGGTGAAAAGCATTTGAGTTTGTAGACCTTAAAATTAGACCAAAATGTAGTTATTTTCTTTTTCTACCTTCCATTCTTAAATGCATGTTCATCTCTGTAACCATAATAATAATTTTTTCCTAATGGATTTGTGTAGATCATTAACTTCAGAGAGCCGGTCACATTGGACTTCTTGGATGCTGAACTTCCAGACCGCAACAAGGAGGAGGTGAACATCTCTACAACGAGTTCTCCCTGCAAATGTGCCAAATACATTATTAAAATGTCATTAAATTACTCATCAAACAACATGGCCGGGTTTAGCAAAGTAGGACGTGCTTCTGGATGAAGAGCGTTTTTGGGTCTTGGAACAAAATTCCCAATTCACTTACTTTAATTTTTAATGAATACTTTTATTTAGCAAGGATGCATTAAATTGATCAAAAGTGACAGTAAAGACATGTATAATGTCTATTTCAAATAAATGTTGTTCTTTTGAACTTTCTATTCATCAAAGAATCCTGATATTAAAAAATGTATCATGGTTTCCACAAAAATATCAAGCAGCACAACTGTTTTCTACATTGGTAATAATAAGAAATGTTTCTTAAGCAGCAAAAATAGCATATTAGAATGATTTCTGAAGGATCATGTGACACTGAAAAATCAGCTTTGATCACAGAAATAAATTACATTTTACAATATATTTAAATAGAAAAGTTATTTTAAATTGTAATAATATTTCAAAATGTTACTGTTTATACTGTATTTTTTATCAAATAAATGCAGCCTTGGCGAGCAGAAGAGACTTCTTTCACAAACATTTTTACCAACCTCAAACTTTTGAACAGTATGTACCTGGAAAACTTTACAGCGACTTGAGAACGTCACAGCTTGATTTTAAATCATGTTTAAATCCCTTTAATGTGTTTACAATCCAAGAACACACTGCAAAATAGTAATCTGATCTAGTAATACAATGAGGCCATTTTAAATAAGGATAATGAAATAAAGTAACATAAACTTAAGGACTATAGACGTGTTGCCCTATCATCTGTGGTCATAAGCTCGTTTGAGAGACTGGTGTTGGCTTTTCTGAAGGACATCACTGCACCCTTACTGGACCCCCTGCAGTTTGCTTATCAAGCAAACAGGTCCGTGGATGATGCAGTCAACGTGGGACTGCATTATATCCTACAACATCAAGACAAACCAGAGACTTATGTGAGGATCCTGTTTGTGGACTTCATTTCAGCTTTCAATACAATCATCCCAGCACTCCAGACCAAACTAACCCAGCTCTCTGTTCCTAGCTCTATCTGTCAATGGATCACCAGCTTTCTGACAGATAGGCAACAGCTAGGGAGACTGGGGAAATTCATTTCAAACAGCCGCACAATCAGCAATGGCGCCCCCCAGGGATGTGTCCTCTCCCCACTGCTCTTCTCCCTCTACACCAACGACTGCACCTCTATTGACCCCACTTTCAAGCTCCTGAAGTTTGCAGACGACACTAAAGTCATCGGCCTCATCCAGGACGGTGATGAGTCTGCATATAGAATCGAGGTTGAGCAGCTGGCTGTCTGGTGCAGTCTTAACAACCTGGAGCTGAACACGTTCAAAACAGTGGAGATGATCGTGGACTTCAAGAGAAACCAAGCACTCCCTCCACTCACCATTATGAACAGCACTGTGGCTGCAGTAGAATCATTAAGGTTCCTGGGCACCACCATCTCTCAGGACCTGAAGTGGGACAATCACATTGACAGAGATTGTACTTCCTTCGCCAGCTGAGGAAGTTCAACCTGCCACAGGAGCTGCTCACACAGTTCCACTCAGCCGTCATTGAGTCTGTCCTGTGCACTTCAGTAACTACAGAGGACGATTCGGACTGCTGAGGGGATTATTGGTGCTCCCCTGCCCACCCTTCATGAACTGTAAATATCCAGAGTGAGGAAAAGGGCTCAGAGAATCACTCTCATCCAAGCCACCTTCTTTTTGAACTTTTACCATCTAGCCAGCGCTACAGAGCACCAAACACCAGGACTGCCAGGCACAAGAATAGTTTCTTCCCCCAGGCAATCTACCTCATGAACAGTTAAATGTTCTCCCCTACTGTTCAATAAAAAGATGTGCAAATACCACTTTTATTTACTTAATACTACCCTACATTGTAAATTCTATTCTATTCCATCTATGTACCACAACAAATTTTGTCTATTTCTGTTACAAATGTGTATTTTCTTATTAACTGTGTTGTTGTTGTTGTCTCTGTGTACTGGAAGCTTTCAGAACAAATTCCTTGTATGTGCAAACACACTTGACAATAAAGCTCTTTCTGATTCTGATTCTGGATCTTGTATTTATCTTTTTGTAGATCCGCCGTCAAATGATTGATGGCAAAGCAGGACAGAGGAGAATCAAGACACTGGTGAAGTCTGTGGATGAGGTGAGTCACATGACCTCTTACTGAATATAATGGCATACAGTGTGATGATCTTACGGCTGGTTGGTAATGTGCTGCTATTTCTGTGTGTATTTTTAGCATTACATTGACGAGGTCCAGAGGACGTACATATGGAGTCCAGTAGAGGGCACAGATTACAGGTCAATATGACACTCTCATTCATACTGCATTTCTGTTGATGACTTTAAAATGAATGATTTCAATCGCTTTCAATTAATAGTCAATGTAAAGATATAAAGTGCTTTAAGTTGCCATTGTTTATGAAATGTGCTATATAAGTAAACTTGCCTTACCTAAATATAACTGGTTGCAAGTCTAGTTAGTAGTTACTCAGTTACTTATATTACAAATGAATTAAAGAAAAATATTAATTTTATAATGTTGTGCTGTCAGCACAACAGTATTTGAATATATATCTGAATATAATATTTTTTTCTTACTCAGTATTTTTGTCTTGTTTTCCAAATATCTAAACATTCTTAGTACAAATATCTAAACATTCTTAAATCAAGATACATTTACTTAAGAAGCAAAGTTATATAATGTTTTCTGAAAAATTTATCAAAATTGAGTTCTAACTTAAAGGGGTCATATGATGCTTTTTTAAAGATCATTATTTGTCTGCCAGCAAAATAAAAAAATAATCTTGTATTCCCTTCCCTTTTTCTTGTTTTAAGTATAAACTCACTTAATTTTTTTCAGAAAACATTGTCACATATCATGCACTTGCTTTAAAAAGTGTGACTGGTTGCTAGTTTGTATCCTAGAAAGCACCAGATGTGGTCATATGCAAAAGATATTGAAATTCTTCCTTTCTTTCCTTGCAGTCTTGGTTTAGTTCTGCCGTCCTACAGTGAAAACCACATCAAGGCCAACCTGAGTGACCAGATCCTCCAGGTCCAGTGTAAGTACCAGGGGCAGGCTAACGCGAAGCCTGCTTACCTTTCTTTCTTCCCAAAGAGACTTCCTGTTCCCCCTCCCGCCCCTCTCGTCCAATCAACGGAAGCCCCTCCCCTTTCTCTGACATCACAGCAGCGTCGGGTCCGAGCGTGGATTCCCGGCGAGCGACGTCGCGTTTCAGCGCTGGGAAAGTGAGAGTGGACGTGTTCTTCTGTGAAACCCCACCCCACCTCTTCCCTCTTCCCTCCTGTCCTCATGCTGTTCTGTACTGAGGTGATTTTTCTTTCCCTGCACGGATGCAAAGAAAAAACCCTCACTAAAAACCAGAGAGGTGAAAGCTGTGGTTTTACTGTGTTTACTGAGTTGAAAATAATGGTGACCATGTGCTATTATTTTTCCTTTTGCCGAAACATTTAAAAAAATGCTCTCGTCTTCTCTCTCACAATGACGATTCTGAAGCATCTTTTGTCTGGACAGGTTTTGTGTTTTTGTTTTCATTAGCGAGATGTGAAAAGAGGCATGCTTTTGCTTTTCACTGTGTGCTTTATGTGTTCAGTCGTGTTTATTATTTGCTTTGATTCATGTGGATGCTCACTGTGCTGTATTGTTTGCCGGCAGCTTTGGAATCAGTCAATAAATAAGAAAAAAGTATCCCACAATGCCCCCTAACAGGTCATTGTCCCGCACGGGAGATGGAACGCCTTTGGTTTTCCTTTCTTTCCTTCTTTTTCCTTGTTTTTTGATTGCTTTTATTTATATATATATATATATATATATATATATATATATATATGTTGTATTTAGTTGCATTTGTTGATTTTAGTCAGTCTCTCTTGTTTGTTTTATATTTTGTTTGTTCTCTTTCATTTGGTTAATTTGTTCTTTATTTCTGTTTTATTCATTCTTTAGTTCTTTTGTTTGATCTTGTTGAGTTGTGTTTTTTCTGTTTTCATTTGATGGTGCTCATTCGATCTTTCATCAATCACTTTTGCTTGCATTTTTGTTCTTTTTTGCTTGTTCATTTGATCCCTAGTTTGTTCTTTCATTCTTTTTCTTTGTCTGTTTTTGTGTATTTTTCACCTGTTCATTCTTTTGTTCTTTTTTTTTTTCATTTCAATTGTATTGATTTCATTCCTCCTTGGTTTAGTTTTTGTTCATCTTTCATTCTCTCTTATTTGTTTGTTTCATCTTTTGTTTATTCTTCAATGTGTTTTGTTTGATCTTTTTCATTTGATTCATTTATATCTCTTTCAGTTCTCCCTCTCTTTCTTTCTGTAATTTGTTCTTTAATCTAATTTTAGTTCTTTCACTTGTTATATTCATTGTTTTGTTTGGTTTTAGATGTTGGGTTTTTTATACAGGTATATTTAGTTTATTCTTTTGTGCATTTTGTTTGTTATTTCAGTTGTTTTGTTCCTTTTTGTTTGTTTGACATTTAGTTTGTTTTTGTGTATTTTTCTATTGTTTATTTATTTATTCCTTCATTAAGTCTGTAGTTCATTATTTCATTTATTTTATTTTTTGTTTCCTTTGGTTTATGCTTTCATTCCTCTTAGCTTTAAATGTAGTTTTTCTTTTTCTTTCTTTTTCTTTTTTTCTTTCTTTCTATCTTTCAAAGCGTTCCTCTCTTCCTAGCGCATATGTGATTCTCATTTTGTGACACATTATTTTTCTCCATGTTTCATCATACGGTGAAGGTTCATTAGTTCTGATTCTGCTCCCGTGTCCTCAGATGTTCTCTCCTCATCTCCATCCTAATGGAGTTCGTTCACTGCCTCCGTCTACTTGTTGCATATATTCTTTGCGACATGTCATTCATTTTGGTTTCCTGTTCTCAGTTGTTCATTACTGTTTTGACTGACTTGATTTTCCTTCTTTTGAGAAAAACAATATTTTTATTCAAACAGTCATTGAATAAAATATTGTCTGTGACCCCCCCCTCCTCCCCTTACCCGTCCCCCCTGTTTCTTTTCTGCTCTCTCCTCCTCAGACGGATCAGTATTCAAGGGCAAGTATACACCATATTGGTCCACTACCTTTGTTACTCTACTTCCTTCCTCGTACCCTTGTCCTGAACTCCCCGCTGATGCCCACCTCGTTCCAGCCTGCTTGCCTCCTCTGTTCCTCCTGCCCGCCTTGCCTTCAAGACCCTCCTCTTCCTCTCTCTCCTCCTCTTCCTCACTCTCTCACTCACCCACTCACCCTCTTGCTGCGGCCTACACCCACATCTTTCTCTTTTCTCCTTTTCAAGCTCTCTCTCTCTCTTTCTCTCTCGGCTCGGACAAACGTTTAAGGTCTCTCCCTGGCATCTCCTGAAGAATAAAATATGATTTTTCTCTCCATGTCAAACGTATTTCTGATCCCTGTGTCCATTATGTTTGGGAATATTTTCCTCCATCTGTCTCCTCCTCCTCCTCCCCTCTTTCTTCCTCAGTGACAGTGTTAAATCCTCAAATTGGTGCATTTGCTGTTGAAATTGTCAGTTGTTATTTGTCACGGCTAGTAGACGTCCTACTCTACTCTAGTCATATAGATGTAGTATTTAGTTTGAAAGCATCCCTAAAGTAAACTTTAGCCTTTCGGTAGTACAAGTTAGTATTACGGTAGTACAGGTATACAAGCTTATTGTGGTCGTTATTGAGAAGTTATGATTGCACTTTGAGTGTAGCATATCATTGTCTGTTTGTTCTGAAATTTTTGCCCTCATCATTTACTCTCCCTCATTTTGTTCCAAAATCATTTGACTGACTTTTTTCCATTAAACACAAAATAACTTTTGCAGAATTTTCATGCTGCTTTATTTCATTCAACAAAAATATATAGTGCCTGTCGATCTCCAAAAAGATTAAAAAGCACCATAAAGTATTATAAAAGTCTATTATTGTGTGCTATAATCCAAGTCTTCTAAACCAATATAAAATCTTTGCGCGAAGAACCAACCAAAATCATCATTCGCCCAATTTTTGAAAGATTTTCAATAAACAGTTATTTTAAAATTGATTTATTACTCACAGAACGCATCATATGGAGAAAAAAGCAACAACAACCTTGAAATATAAGTCAAAATTCACATGGACCTCTATGATGGTACTTTTTTAAAGCCTGAAATTGCCTGATCAGTGTTAGTTTAGTATTATTTACATATATACTATTATAGTATTTCTTAATATTTTGAATTCGTTTTTATTTTTATATTTTCAGTGTTCATTTTAGTTTTAAGTTTTAGTCACTTTGTTAATATGCTTTTGCCATTTTTATTCATTTTTGTTTTTAAATATTTCTATTCAGCTTTAATTTACTTTTAGTAATTTTAGTACTTCAGTTAAAACTTATTTCAGTTAATTGTTTTTCATCTAATATTCATGATTTTTTAAATTTTTTTATAGTTTTATGTGCTTTTGTCATTTTTATTAATTCTTGATTTAGTAATTTTAGTACTTCAGTTAAAACTACAGTTAATTGTTTTTCATCTAATATTTATGTTTTATTTCATTTTTTATTGTTTTATTTTATTTATTTATTTATTTTTAAAACACATTAGATGATACAGTGCAATCAGTAGTAATTCAGTAAATGCACAGCTAAACAGTTTTTAAGCTGGATTTAAATGTGGCTACTAGTTTTAGTTAACAGTAACAGTGCCCCGATCAGTATATGCTTTCACTGAGAAAAGAGCAGCTTGAACATCCTCCAAAACATCTCCTGTTGTGCACCACATAGGTTAGAGGGTGAATAAATTATCTTGAATTTTTATTTTTGTCCAAACTCTTCCTTTAAATCTTGAAGATTAAGCAGAAATGTTTGCCATACAGGCTAATACTTAAAGACTTAAAGATGTGTATGTGCATGTATTGTTGCCTTTAGTTTAGCCAGCCAGTTTATTCCCTTAGGTTGTCTCTTACTATTCATATAATCACTAGTTCTTGTTATGGAATGGGCAGGAATAGGCTGCAGATGAATTTGCTAGATGGCCTCCTTTAGGTCCTGTCTTGTTGTTTTGGTGACAAGAGCGCTTGGTAGCGCCCGGTTTGTTTGTCGTCCTCCTCTTACACCCCTTGTTCTCATCAGCTTGACCCCTCTGTACGTCTATCACCCCCCAGACTGCCACCACAGACGCTCTGCTATGTCTTCACATATCCTGACCTGGAAGTGCAAGACATTGTGGAGGGAAAAACTACCTGGGCACAACAGTGGCTGTGGGTTTTATTGGATACATATATATTCTGTATATACAGATTAATTGCTACTTGAATGCTTGCTTTACATCACAATTTGTGAAATATCAAGACATAAAATATAAAAATAACAGCCCTGCATCTTGAAAAAAAATCTGCTGATTACCAAAAAGGGCTATTATTACCAATATTATTCAAAAATACCAATAAACACTTTCCATCATGTACATTTAGAAAATAAGAAAAAGAAGATTTTTCAAATTTTAAATGTATATATATGCTCTCTCTCGCTCTCTCGCTCTCTCTCTCTATATATATATATACAGTATATATATCAAATGATGTTTTGGTTTTAATGACAAAAAGAAGTATTCAAAATGTATCATTCAACTTACAACTTGAAAAAGTATGTTCAAATACAATTTGTCAAAAAACTTTACAAAAAACAAACTTTTCCACAAAATCTGTAATTTTCTGTCACTGTTTGGGTTTAGTAAAACACCCGCAGATGTAGCAAAACAGGCACTATTTTTGGAATCAGCACCCTGAAATTAAGCAACAAGTATTGCATCTCATTCAACAGGTATGATGCAGGACAGTGTGATGAAGGTGAATGCTGGAATAACATCAGGATAATGTGCAGTAGATTAAACTGGGTTGCCCTCTCTCTTCCCCTCCACAATGCTGGGCACTTTCTCCGATTGAGTCTCTGGAGCGGCTCCATGGTGCCAGTCTGAGGGGCGATCACCTCCATCAGGACCCCTGCCTCACCCACTCCCAGCTAAACGGTTGGCCATGTTGATGCCTGTTGAAAACGAAAGCGGCACTCCACGCTGTTCGTGGGAAAGGCATCGGAGAACTCGCTTCGTCTCAGTGTGTATCCCGAGGGTCGAGCCAGTTCTCCGACTTGCAAAAGAATGAAATTCGGATGAAATTTGAATCAAGCTAAAAGTGTCTGCTTTCCAAATTACGCCATTATTTCGGCCAGTGCGACTCCATTGAAGGCACCATTGTGGCTAACGCTGGTATACCCCCATGATTCCTCAGTGTTGCTATGGTAACGCCCCCACTGCGTTCCTGCACCTTTTGAAGAGCAGCTGATGTTCATTTGTTTCTCAGAAGCCTCCCTGTGTTCTCCGTCCTCCGCTTCCCCTGGATAATCTTGCCCGTTTCTGTTGCAGATTTTGAGTCTCTCCTGCCAAACACTTTTGAGTCAGAGGGACATGTGTTCATTGCCCCCAGGTAGCTTTGTGTGACTTCTTGAAGCCACGTTCCTGTTTTCGTGCATACGTCCATCTCTAACTTCCTTTTCAACATACCGTAGTCACTGTAGTCTCTGTGTGTGTGTGCTGTGCGTAACGTGTCTTTCCATTTTAACCCAAGTCAATGTGTTTATTTATTGTGTTTTGTCTGTCAAGAGTCCTCGCCATCACCCGTAGGAAATCCTAATAAGATCTCAGTTGTATCTCCTAGACAGCATTAAGAGCAAATGGAGGCTTTTACTGTTCTGGGTTCATCACAAGTGCACTCTTAAAAATAAAGGTTCTTTATTGGCATTGATGGTTCCATTAAGAAACATCCACGGAATCTTTCTATGCACCAAAAAGTTCTTTATAGTGGACAAAAGGGTTCTTTGGATGTTTAAAATGTTCTTCATACTAAGAAAAAAAATGGTTCTTTTTTAGAATGTTTACTGAAAGGTTCTTTGGGAAACCAAAAATGGTTCTTTAAAGGAATAGTTCACCCAAAAATTAAAATTTGCTGTACTCACCCTCAGGCCATCAAAGATGTAGATGAGTTTGTTTCTTCTTGGGAACGGATTTGGAGAAATGTAGCATTCCATCACTTGCTCACCAATGGATCCTCTGCAGTGAATGGGTGCCGTCAGAATGAGAGTCCAAACAGCTGATAAAAACATCACAATAATCCACAAGTAATCCACACCACTCCAGTCCAGCAATTAATGTTTTGAGAAATAAAAAAAATTAAAAAATCCATCATAAAGTCGTTTTAACTTTAAACCGTTGCTTCTGGCCAAAATACGAGTCCATAATCCATAATAATGCTTCCTCAAGTGAAAATGTCCATCTCCTGTTGTCCTCTCACATCAAAATCCACTGACATATTTGTTTAGATCTGTTTTGGACTGTTTTGGCTAGCAAATGGTGTTTGATCCATGCATGTTTCTCTCCTGATTCACACGAGACAACTTGTTCACTGGAGGAAGTGTTTTTATTATGGAATATGGATTGTGGTATTTTAGTCTGAAACAACAGTTTGAAGTAAAAAAAAAAAACAAAGATGGATTTGTTTCTTGCAAAAATGCAGCTTTTCACTTAACAAGATGTTAATTGATGGACTGGAGTGGTGTGGATTAAGAAACATTTTTGGGTAAACTATTCCTTGACATTGCTGCAAAAAAATATATATATATATTTTGTAACCTTTGTTTTTAAAAGTGTAAAACGTTTATCCACAGAAAATAGTTTTGCTCGGTTTATACAAACAAGCAAATGTGTACATTATTTCACTTACAGTGGAACTGTATGGCGCCAGACATTCAGAAGTGTCTTTCTTAAAACTCTTATTTTATTTCTTCTAGTTATGTTTAATGCCGTTTCTGCAGATGGAGAATGCGCTGTATTAAATACTTCTAAATACTGTGTTAAATGAGTACACTGACAAAAAATTAAAGTAGAAACAACTGCTAGTAAATTTTACAAATAATAAAAAAAAAGGCAAGTAACATTAAAATTTGAGGTAGAAACACTGAAATAGTGAAGCATGCTTTTATTTACAATTTTGAAAAATTATTTTTACAGTATAGTTGTAAATTACAATGGTAGCAAAACCTATAATGCATTGTAATGTCTTCGCACGATAAACTTCCATTGTTCGTATATTATTATAAATGTGATTTTTGTTTGTTTTTACAAACTTGAGCAACAAGTTGATAATATTTTCTGTGGTAATTACAGCTGCTAATGAAGCATAACTTGTTTTGAGCCTGAAAAACTGCTATTTTTAACCTGAGAAAAAGACATCATTAATCTTACATATGTCTCCTTTAGCTTCAGAAGAGATCTCAACAATGTCTCAAATTGCGATTAGATTTTCCAAAGTCTACAATTACTGTAATTTTAGAATGAACTCAAATGTTCCTCTATGCTATGCTCAGTTTTATAGCTCTGTACTCTAACTGTACATCAACATTATATATTTCTTAAACAATTTAAAGAAAAACAAAGATAGAGTTCGTACTTGAAGCGTATCTGAAAGCCATGCTATGAAAGCGCAACCTCTGAGCAGTAAACTCTGTGTTTGAATCATTGTCGTCTGCTGTCATGGATCAGTATCTTCTGACGTTCAGTAGATTCTCCTCATGTCTTCTCCACATCTCATCTCTGCAGCTCTCACGCGGCTCCTCTGTGTCTGTGTGTGCATGGCGTTCTCCTCACTTCCTTACATACGGCAGCAGTATCAAGGGGAAGGTTGACTTTGGTTTGCATGGATCTAGAGAAGTTCACGTGCATGCGTCTATGAATGATCATCTTTCTCTCTGTGTTTTTAAAGCATATACACTCCAAAAATCATGTTCTTAGTTAGTAGCTTTGTAATGTTTTCCAGTAAAAATGTCTAAACATCCCTGAAAAGAAAAAGTGCAATAATTATGACTTGTTTTCAGAGAATGCGCCTTGAAGTTGAATTAAGTGAAAAAAAATGGTGTAGGATTTACTTTGAAACTATTTTCATTTAGAAATTGGTAGTAAATTTTACTAATAATTACTAACACATTGAATTAAACATGAAATTTTGAAGTAGAGAAACTGAAATTGTGTTTGTTTTTTTTTGTGTAAAATGTTCTAAAATACTTTCATTGACTAATTTTTACAGTGTTTTAGACAAAATGCACTGCAGTTTTACTTCTCATGTGGATTTATCTTGTTTCAAGGATGTTTAGATATTTTTACTGGAAACCAGACAAAGATACTGGTTAAGAATAATTTTTTTGCAGTGCGGTTATGTTTTATGTGTGTAATTGTAGTGTTTTATGTGTTTAAGATGTATACATGAATGTAAAAAATTCTCACTGTCTGTTAAGGGTTTGCAGTCTATAATATAACTGTTTATGATGTTAATCTTTATCAGAGAGAGTTTTCCAGTGTGGAATGATGTGTGTTTTCCTCAGGGAATACTGCAAAGACCTGGAGCTGTCCAACAACAACACAGAGTTCCTGCTCAACTTCATCGCTCTGATGGAGAAGGTCACGCCGGACTCCAAACAATGTGAGGCTCACAGATCTTGTGTGAATTATTTAATAACATAACGCCCTTTTAAAGGACTTTCTGGCCGTAATTTTCATTGTACAGTCGGTTGAGCATTATCCAAACATCATATGTTCCTGTTAAAAAGAACATCTTAAACCAGCCTTGCTGGTCTAAACAGGTCTGTTGGCCGGTTTTAGCTCGAACACTGAGCTGTAAGGCCAGCTGAGACCACCTTAAAGTATCTACCCCCAATAATCAGTGTTATATTAGTATTATTTGTATACTTTTATACTGTTTATTAATATTGAGTGGGTTTTTTTTTGTTTTTTTTTTAAGTTTTAGTCATTTTCTTATGTGCTTTTGTCATTTGTATTACTTTTAGTTAGTTTTTTTGTCAATTTTTGTTTCATTTTAATTTTAGTACTTCAGCTTATTTAATTTAGTTGCCAAGGCAATTATTTGTATACTTTTATACTGTTTATTAATATTGAGTGGTTTTTTTTTTGTTTTTTTTTAAGTTTTAGTAATTTTCTTATGTGCTTTTGTCATTTGTATTACTTTTAGTTAGTTTTTTTGTCAATTTTTGTTTCATTTTAATTTTAGTACTTCAGCTTATTTAATTTAGTTGCCAAGGCAACATTTCTAACTTCCTAATTTAGAAAGTTATTTAAGTTTAAGCTTTTTCATTTTATATTCAAATACTTATTTTGACTGTATTTCATTTACAAATATATATTTTTTTATTATTTTCAGTTTTAGATAATAATAACACTGACCATAATTCACATTCTGAATCTCTCTTTGACCATTCTTGAACTCAAAACTAACTTGTATGAAGATATCAGCTCATATATCATAATGTCATCATCATTATTCCACACAGGCGACAATTTCTTGCTGCATAATCTGATCTTGGACACGGGCATCATTAAAGAGCTGGTAGATAAAGTCTGGCAGAACAAGGACCTCAACACGTACGTTCATATTCAGGAAGAACCACTGAAATTCCTCCAATTCATTAATAGACTTGACACCTTTATAAGGCATCAACCTAAAAATCTCAAGCACAAAATATCCTGCATTAGAGCTAGTGATAAATGTGAGTGAATATGTGTGTTCTGATGCTCTAGGTATGGCTTTATAACAGTCTTTGCAGCCACAGATGGAGGCGTCACTCGAGTTTTCCCTAATAGGTGAGTCTGGTTCTTTTTTCTGTATTTGTCACTGTGTTGTTTTAAATAGCTGCTAAGGTAAAGTGTGGGTGTGTGTGTGTGCGTGTGTGTGTGTGTGCGTGCGTGTGTGTGTGTAAATCAGGGCCTCTGAGACCTGGGAGGAAAATCCAGAGCCGTTTAATGCTAGTTATTACCGTCGCAGTCTGGACAACAAGGGCTACATCTTCAGAGCCCCCTACCGCACCGGTGAGAGAGAAACACACATCAGATGACTGTACACTCTTTACCCTCATATAATAGTCTCTTGAGACAGTGTTTTCACAATGCAAAGTGTAATTAAAATAGTATATTTAATATGAAGAAAAAATATATAATGTAAAAAATTATTTGTATAAATAATAATTATAATTCAATATAATTTATAATATTGTATATATAATATACTGTATTATACTATATTCTAAATTATATTGAAATTATTCTTTTTAAATTTAATAATAATTATAATTGATTATTTGTTAATGAAAATATATATATATATTAATTTACTGTCTTTAAAGTAAAAATAGTTCAAATTTAATTAATATTATATATATATTTGTATATTAACAAATATATGCTATATTTTAAATATAATTGATTAATTATATTTTTAATGTAATAATAATAATTATTATTATTATGATTATTTGTTTATATATATTTATAAATGTAATACACATTTATATATTATTAATTATATTCTGATATATATATATATATATATACTGTATATATACACACACATAGACACACATAAGCAGAATATAATTAATAAGCAGAATACACAACTCTTCCATTCTTTAATTTACTATGTCTTCAAACTCAGTTCATCCAGTCAGAATTTACACATAAGCAGAATATAATTAATAAGCAGAATACACAACTCTTCCATTCTTTAATTTACTATGTCTTCAAACTCAGTTCATCCAGTCAGAATTTTTAATAGCAATTACAGTATAATTTATAATATATCATTCATTTTATAATTTAACTGCTTTTTTTGTTTTATGTTGTCTAGCCAATGATGACATACTGAATCCAGAGAACGACACCATTGGTATTCTGGTTAGCACTGCAGTGGACATTACCATAGGAATCAGAAACCTCAAACCTGCAGGTAAATACAACTTCACGCACACTGTATGTGACTCAGGGACAGGCAGACGTCTGCCTCTGCATGGGTCCACATGGAGGCCTTTTGAATCAGATAAATAGCACAGCTTATGTGTGCAAACAAAGGCGAGATCAAATGTGGGATTTGAGATGATGAATCAATAGCTTAATTAAGAAATTCATCATAACTAATAGACAGTCAACAGCTGTGTTTGAATACTTGATCTCTCTCAGTACAATAAATCCTGAGACATTTTGCCATTTTTGACTTAAACCTTTTCAAATCGACAGTGATATGCTGCGCTTCTTCAGTGAGCTCATGATCATCCTGTTACGTCAGGATTACCTGACATGTGGATTAGAAGAGACAAGTGCTGCTTTATGAATCGGGCTTTAGAAGAATGACATATTCTGCTCTGAACATTGTTGAAAAGTCAACTCTGGTGAATTATGTCGATGTAAATATGTCACCAAAGTTAAAGTGCCCCTATAATGCCATTTTTAAGGTTCCTAATATTGTTTTGGGAGTCTCCTACAATAGGTTTACATAAGGTTTACTCAAAATATGCATTTAATATCACGTCATTTTCCAGCAATTCTCAAATGATTTGTCTGAAGCAGTTTAAAGTTTCAGTCTCTCTAAACCCCTCCTTTCCGTGAGCCTACTCTGCTCTGATTGGTTAGATGGCCCAGTCTGTTATGATTGGTCTACCGCATACAGCGCGTGTCGGAAATGTACACTCTTTACCCTCATATAATAGTCTCTTGAGACAGTGTTTTCACAATGCAAAGTGTAATTAAAATAGTATATTTAATATGAAGAAAAAATATATAATGTAAAAAATTATTTGTATAAATAATAATTATAATTCAATATAATTTATAATATTGTATATATAATATACTGTATTATACTATATTCTAAATTATATTGAAATTATTCTTTTTAAATTTAATAATAATTATAATTGATTATTTGTTAATGAAAATATATATATATATTAATTTACTGTCTTTAAAGTAAAAATAGTTCAAATTTAATTAATATTATATATATATTTGTATATTAACAAATATATGCTATATTTTAAATATAATTGATTAATTATATTTTTAATGTAATAATAATAATAATTATTATTATGATTATTTGTTTATATATATTTATAAATGTAATACACATTTATATATTATTAATTATATTCTCTTTCCGTGAGCCTACTCTGCTCTGATTGGTTAGATGGCCCAGTCTGTTATGATTGGTCTACCGCATACAGCGCGTGTCGGAAATACATTGCCATAGTTCCATATTTTGAATGCTTGATTTTGAACGATCTATTATTTATCATACTTACAGGTTGTGATTCAGTGGAGCCAGCTGGTCCAAAAAAACTGTGTACTGATTCATCTTTTAGGAACGTTTAGAGAAGCCCGAGATTAGAGAAGCAGTCATCAGTCAAATGACGTGTTTGTTGGCGGGGTCAAGTTGTTCACGGCCATCGGCCGGCCAATGTAAAACATAGGTGGGCATTATGCAAATGTGTTACCCCGTGACGTGTAGCCGTCACAGAAGTGGGATTCAAATTACTAACGACTCGTTCAGGGTGTTCAGATTATTTTTGGAGACAATAACTTTATTTATCATGCACCTTCGGCTTTTCAACTTTGCAGATCGTTTACATTCATATAGTTACATTACACACTGCATGAAAGGCAATATTCGAAATGGCATAATATGGGCACTTTAACTTATCTAGATGATAACACAGATTAGGTTGAGAATCAGACAAATCAGAAATGCTTTGCGCGAGTGTATGCATAATATATATTATTTTTATTAGATTTTATTCATCTTTCTATTATTATATTTGTAGATAAAATATTTATTTTTTGAATAAATGCTGTTCTCTGCTACTTTTTATTCATCAAAGAATCCAGACAATTCACAGGTCCGAAAAAGCAGCACAACTGTTTCCAACATTGATAATAAATCAGCATATTAGAATCATTTCTAAAGGATGTGACACTGAAGACTGGAGAAAAAAATGGTGGCAGGGCATGTAAAATTGTAAACTAACTAATAATGATTAAAATAAAAAAAAAAGTACAATATATTGTTCATGTAAAAGGAACAGTTGCAAAAGCATTTTAATTGTAAGGTGAGTGGAAAATGGTGAAATGGTGAAGACCGCAGGTTTTAGGGTTTCTCTTTTCATTCTGTTTCCGTCTTATATTCTCTTAGTTGTGGGTGTGAAGCTTGACCTTGAGGCTTGGACTGACAAATTCAAGATCCTGGCGAGCAACCACACCAACAGCAACCGACAGAGCTCTCAAACGGTAAAATGCACGCACACACACATCTATGGCTATACACAAGCACATGCTGCTCTAAATACTGTTGTTTCTGTCTGACAGTGTGGACCAACCAGTGGCTGTGAAATGGACTGTGAAGCCAACAGTGATGTAAGAGACTCTTAATGCACTTAATACGGAGATCTAAAGCTCACATCCATACATTCACATCCTTCTTTTCAGAGTTTGTCCATTAAGTGTAGCCGATTGATCGTGATTTTCTATTCAAATGACTGATTAATGATGGCAGCAGTAATGCGATCACTTGAAGCTGTCCGTCTTTCTTCGCAGGACTTGCTTTGTTATCTGATAGATGACGGCGGCTTCCTCGTCATGTCCAATCAGAAAGACTACTTGAATAAGGTCAGGACGTTCAACAGGAAAGTGAAGTGAAAACAGACTGTGTTTGCTTCTGTTTTTCACTCTTGTGCTCTTCCTCTTCAATCTGTAGATTGGGATGTTCTTCGGCGAGGTCGATGCCACCCTGTTTTACGCCCTCTATAACAACTCCTTCTACAAACGCAAGCAGTCTTACGACTATCAGTCGTTGTGTGACCCGGTGCCCAGCAGCAACACAGGGGCCGCCCCGCGAGGAGTGTTTGTGGTACGAGCGTGAATGGACGGGATAAGTCAATGCCTACGTTAACATGCATCCTAATAATCTGATTCAAATCTTAACCAGACACCTCAATCAATCCAAATGAAATCTAATTGAAAGGGCTGGTATAGATTTTAAGCAATCTGTTAAAAATGAAAATTGAATAAATGGATAAAGAGATGTGTGCATAGGGTAGGTGAGTATTTGGATGGATGATGAACTGTGGCATGATCTAATGTCATGTGTTTCCTCTCAGCCTACTATTGCTGATGTGTTAAATGTTGCCTGGTGGACGTCAGCCGCTGCCTGGTGAGTTTCTGTCTTACAGTCAATTATAATGTCTGATCTCAGTGATGTAGCAGCTTGTAAACATGTGCAAACATCATAGGCTCACACTCAGGAATTTGTGTGTGTCCTAATTTGAGGTCCCCATGGGGAAACAAGCTTATAAATCATACAGAATGAGTTTTTTTGAGAATGTAAAAATACAGGAAGTTTTCTGTGAGGGGTAGGTTTAGGTGTAGGGCGATAGAATATACGGTTTGTACAGTATAAAAATTATTTACGCCATTACACCTATGGAGAGTCACCACAAGGATAGTAAACCAGACGTACGTGTGTGTGTGTGTGTGTGTGTGTGTGTGTGTGTGTGGTCCTCTATAGGTCACTGCTGCAGCAGATGCTGTATGGATTTGCCTATCAGAGTTGGTTCATGACAGGTGTGTGACGTTTACATTGATTTGAAAAGGTCATTGTTTAAGTGGATCAATAAGAAGACTAGTCTAACGTGTGTTAATGTAGATGAGGTGGATGCTGAAGGAATGGAGTCTAGAGAGACCAGCTGTGTGACGGTACAGACACAGTTTTACTTCAGTAACATCAGCAGCTCCTACAACATACTGCAGGACTGTGACAACTGCTCCAGGTCAGACACACAGCAGTCATGCAGGCAGTATACATCATATATATATATACAGACTACAGGCTGTTTTTAATAATAATGTGTCTGTTTTACAGGTTAATTCATGCTAGGAGAATAAACAACACCAACCTGCTGTTTGTGGTGGCTGAAAAACTGTCCTGCGACTCCTGTGAAATAGAGAAACTGTCTCAGGTGGAAACAGAATGTATCCTTACCCATAAATGTGCATTTCATGCATTGGTTTTAATTTCTGAAATTTTAATGCAATGTACGCTGCTGTTCAAAAGTTTGGGGTTGGTTGCATTTATCTGATCAAAAAAAAATATTTTGAAATATTATTGCAACTTAAATATATACTAATATATGTTTTCTGAATAATATATTTTACTATGTAATTTATTCCTGTGATGCAAAGCTGAATTTTCAGCATCATTACTCCAGTCTTCAGTGTCACATGATCCTTCAGAAACAGAAATCATTCTAATGATTTGCTGATTTGCTGCTCAAAAACATTTCTGATTATTATCAATGTTAAAAAAAACTGTGCAAACTGTGATACATTCTATTTTTCTCGATTGTTTTGATGAATAAACATATTAATTTCCTTCCAAAAAAAAAAAAATCTTACTAACCCCAAATTTTTGAACGGTAGTGTAAATTTGCTAAAAAAAAAAACATTTTCCTTAACACCCTCCGTTTCTCAGACAAAGAAATTAATACATGCGAGACAATAACCACAGCCCGGTATAGAAAAGGAACCACGAGCTGTTTCGACTACAGTGTTTTAGTGAGTACACATGCACATTTCCACTTGTTTATTCAAAGATATCTTTCTGGAATATTTACAGTTGAATGTCTATGGATGGCATGATGAGCTCTGTAAACCCCGCCCACATGAATAACATCAGTAATGTATAAGCTAGACTGTTTAAGTAGCAAATAAATTAGAATTAGAATACGTGCCTAAACAAAAATATGAGTTTCACAATCTTGCATTTAAAGCCACCAGAAGACTTGTAAGTGCATTAATGGAGACACATTTCTCTATTTCTCTTCCAGGAGAACACATCAGACTGTGGGCGGGGTCACTCGTTCCGCCCCTCCCTCCTCACTTTACTCCTCCTCCAGCTCCTCCTCCTGTGTGTTCTGGCCCACCTCTCTGTTTAACTCCATCCTCCTGTCCTCCTCTCCCTCCTTCTCGTCTCCTTAATTCCGCTTTTCTCCTTTATCTCCCCGTTGCTCTAGTCATAGGTAATATAATGGGACTTCCTCCTGCCCTTATACGGAAGCCCAGTCGTGCTGCTTCATCCACTTAGCTTCACAGGTTGTTGCTTAGTGACCGTTGCAGAACTTTGTCGTCTCCTGCCAATCAAGAGCATTTGTGGAAGGAGCTAAAAGTGTCTTTGCGAAAACAGGAAGCTAGTGATGTGGAAACCGACGGCCATCTTGGACCATTGAAGAAATGGTTGAAAATGACATGGACTGTTCCCTCCTGCCTTTGCGGCTGTAAGGGGGTTGGGTTTTGTTTGACTCCGCCTCTAAAGAGAAAGGTCATCCTCATCATCCTCATCTTCATCCTGTAACCCGTGTCGCGAGGCTACGGGACATTCTAACGCCATCTAGCTTCCGGTAATAAGAAAATAACCGAATAAGAGCAGAACTTTAAGTGATTCTCAAAAAAGTATCAATAACAACATGTGAGTATTAAAAACATACCTCCATATATTAGGGTATTTAATGAGAAAGGGAAGACGATAGATGTTATTTATTCAATTATCTTTTGTTTATTTATGCACTATATCTACTTCTTGCCAAAACGAGACTTGTTGTGTGGTCTAACTTTTCTAGCCAAATTAGGAGGTAAGAAAACCACAGAAAAAGAAAGTAGTGAAATTAAAGAGGTATCGCACCATTCCTTCATCAGTCACAAGGGCTTCATATATTTATTATTTCTATTTATATCACAACCCTGATCCGATTAGGTTAGGCTTTTTATTTGTGTTTATTATTTGTATCACAAGGTAAACTATATTAATGCCTCAGTAATATAATATTTACAGCTAATATGTAATAACATGTTCATTTTTAAACGACTAGTTCACCCAAAAATGACAATTTTGTTTGATTTATTCACCCTCATGCCGTTCCAAACCTGTTTGCTGTTATTGTTTCACCAATGATAAATTTTTAAGAGTCAGGATAGTGACCGTGATTTCCAGCTCCAAAAAAAAAAGTATCATAAAAGCAGTCAGCATGAAGTTGTCTGAAGTCAAACGATAGCTTAGTGTTATAATCAGACCGAAAGCTATTGTGTGGCTTCAGAAGACTTGGAATATTGCACATAAATCATATGGACTACTTCTATTTCTCTTTTTTTTTTGGAGCATGACAGACATGGTCACTGTGAACTGTTATTGAATGGAAAACATTTAGGTGAACTGTTCCTTTAAATAAGATGAGATGTGCTAATGAAGAGATTTTTGATGGATTGAAATGCAGTTTGAGTGTTTTTTAGCGATTATATCTGTTTGCAGTCTTTGTAATTCTGTGCTGTACAGTTTTTCACAATCTCAGAATGTTAACCGCATATTGCATCTGATCACTTCACAACACATGCTGTTTGTTTGCGCCATCATTTGCACTGATGGATTTGTCAGTGAATAGTAATAGCAACCATGATCCTAGTCAGTATGGTCATTCATGTAGAAGAGAAATGTTTTATTTTTCATATGTACGTAAGGCCCAAAACATACTCAATGCAAACATTTCTAGATATGTAGGCTGGATTAAATGTTAAATAATGTGCCGATGCAATTGAAGCATTTGCGTCTGCTTGCATACTTGTATAGAGTATGTGTTTCAGGCCTCATTATCTGTCATGACATTATATCTTATGTTGAAATGTTAATAATGCTATGAAACTTAAGCAAAAATCCTTGTTTTGGGCCCTGCATCAACCTTATTTTAGCTGTGCCTTGATGCACTTTTATATTGGACAGCATTGATCATAGAGCTCCACTAACAGTTTAGTGCAGTAAAAGTCTTTTATGGGCCTTAAAACTCACAGGTTGTGTTTGACATAGAATACTATCATACTACATATATTCTTCATGCTATTTAAAAAAAAATTAATGTTCACTAATGAACATTTTTATTATTTGTCCTGGTCACGATTGCTTGGATGACTAACTATATTTGTCAAAATAAGCATTACAATAAATGGAATACAATATTTAGCATGATTAGCCGCGGCCTGTTAAGAAAACTGTTATTTTGCCTTTTTACCAAATTTTGTTTAAAAATGTCTGGTCAAATAATCAAGTCAAGAGTCAAATAGTCACAGTTGATATTGCTTCCGGTTATTCATCAGACTGGAAATGGCAGGTCAAGTTGAGTGCATTGCATTGTGGGATACTGTATTCAGTATTCCATATGATGTAATGCGCATTTTGATAAATGTAGTTGCTCTTCAAGTATTCTACACATCTGGAAAACCTGCATCCTGTGTACAATGTGCATACAGCAGAAATAGTATGGTTAGTATGCTAGTATGCTATTCCGGACACAGCTCGTGCCTCCAAACATCATCACCTGACTGATATAAGGGAATGCAAATTTTTTTTTTTTTTTAATTTAGAGTATTTTTGAGCCGCAGTGTTTGCCATAACCTTCAGCTTCATCCCTGCAATGTACACAAACTTGACAAGCACCTTTATTTTGTCAGTAAACGGGGCTAAATCTGAACCTCACTGACTGATTCTCAGTTGCACGTTTGGCATTTTAGTGGCCATCACCTTCAATGCTCCTTTAAAGTTCAGTGGCAAGAGGTTTAAGGACGGCCCATCGGTTTTAGGATTGTCTTTGTAAGAGCTTTTCATGCATTCAATCCTACTGCTAAGCTGCTACCGAGTTTTAGTAAAGTAGGTGTTGGGGTTGAACTGACAACTCTACATAACCTCAGTCCATCTCTGGCTTCACAACGGAGGCAGTTTGGTTATAGCGTTCCTCACACAAATATGGGAATGGCTTTACTGTTGTAGTTTATATAAAGTGAGAGTTTATTCAAGGTTTGCTGATGGTTGAGGAAGTGAATCTGTGTTTGCCGTTATGTGACATAACTGTGAAAATAGATGATTTTACGAGAAGTATTTTGAGAGTATTGTCAGTTGTTGGTGTGGAAGGAATGATCTGATCTGTGTCAAACGAATGTTACATATCTGTCTCGAGGCAAAATCTGTTAAAGCCTGTTTTATTTGCCTGTGCAATTTTAAAAGACAGCACTTAACATGTTAATCATTCCCTCTCTCTGTCTGTTTTAAGTTAGTTCACCCGAAATGTATCATTTATTCACCCTCATGTCATTCCAAACCTGTATGGCATTCATTCGTCTGTATGAAAACGAATGTTTGGAAAGGACATCTCCATTTGTTTTATGAATGAAAGAAACTCATATATGCCATAAGGGTGAGTAAATGAGAATTCAGTTTGGGTGATCTATTATCTGTCAGGATGTCATGAATTTTAAACACACCTTATTTGAGAGGTGAAAATGCATGTGTGATGCTAGAGGACATGATTCTTACGTCACTTAGTTTGTTTGTCATCCACCTTCAGAACTAATTGGTTAAAGAGAAAATGAGGTATATATGTTAAGCTTGATTCAGTGGACTGTGCATATCACTAATATTTGAACTTGAATGCAATCCTCATCCTGACACTGTCACATGTGACTCCTGTTTATAACTCACATCCTGATTGGATTTATGAATCCATCTACAGTATGAATATATATTTTAGTCCTAGGAATGGGAAAAACACAATTTATGAAATACAAGTGCAATGTCATATGTGGTACTGTAAACGGGGGGAAAAAAACGTTTTAAAAAGACTGTTTAAGCTTCAGTATGATGTGCTAAGTTTAAGGTATAGTTCACCCAAAAATAAAAAATTCATCATTTACTCACCCTCAGGTTTTTCCAAACCCGATTATAGGCAAAATATAAGTGTGTTTCCATACAAAACCATAATAAAAATATAGCAACCAGGGGCTTTCGAGCTCCTAAAAGGACATAATGCTCCATAAAAATATTATAGAGGCTGTCCATATGTCTTGTGCACTATATTACAAATCACTGAGAAGAATTTAGGTTATTCTGTAAAAAAATGTATCCTCAAATATAAATTTGTGTGCATTCAAATGGTTTGGATTGACATGAGAGTGAGTAAGTGATGACATAATCTTAATTTCTGGGTGAACAATCCCTCTAACTCAGTGGTTCCCAACCCTGGTCCTGGAGGCACCCCAACACTGCACATTTTGCATGTCTCCTTTCTCTGACACACCAATTTCAGGTCTTGGAGTCTCTACTAATGAGCTGATGACCTGAATCAGGTGTGTCTGATTAAGGAGACATGCAAAACGTGCAGTGTTGGGGTGCCTCCAGGACCAGGGTTGGGAACCACTGCTCTAACTCACAACTTTAATGTTGAAACATGTTAAACGGCTAATGTGTACCTCTTTCTTTGCCTGATTATGGAAACAATCTGCTATTTCATTTCATATCAGGGCAAAGAGCGCTCCGAAAGGTGGAAATATGCCTTGTTCGTTACTCTGGTGAGTTGTTTTAAAACTTTGCCAGTTTGTGTGTAATTGTCTTAAAACTGGAACACTGTACAGGGGCTCTGAACTGCCCAAATTAGGGAAACACATTTTGGCAAGACACTGCGATTAAATGATCATGTGTGTCGGTCTTGTGTCACAATTCCAAGTACACTGTGGAACAAAAGTCCTTGTTATTAAGTGGTCTGAAAGATTTGCTTTTGCCAAAAAAAAAAAAAAGAGAAAAAAATAGTATTCAAAAAGAAAAGCTAAAAAGAGGAAGCAGCTTGCGCAAGGGGAGGGGCCTGATGTATAACCCTGCCCACAGGGAGGAGTCATTAGCTCAGACCCTCCCCCTAGCCCCTCCCCCTCCAAAGCAACATCATTGTAGGCGCGTTTCCATCAGCGAGACATGTGTATGTGATTACGTAGTCTTTAGTCTGGTGCTCCGTGACTAATGTGTACAAAAAATATATATATTAAAAAAAACGTACAAAGGAGAAACTGAATTTAACATGAGTGAGGTTTTAAAATGTATTAACAATTAAAAGAAAATAGAAACACAGTACTGCTGATAATACTCATGAGTTGAGCTCTGAAATCATGGTGAGCGTTTTTCTTTCGTTCGTTTATTGGATTGTGTGTTGGGGGCTCAGTGCCTCGTCTCTGGGTCCATGTTGCTCCATTTTTTTGTACAGACACCAAAAAAAGACAAGGGAAAATTTGTAAAATATTGTGTCTGTGACTCCTTGTAAAATATTTTCAAATTGTTTATTACAGAGAATCAGTTATTAAATAATGTTCATATTTTTCACTTCAGTGCATTGTGTAGTGATTATTTTTCTGATGCAATCAACATGTTTTCGATGCTCATTAGAGCTACATAAACACGTGAATGTGATTTGAAGTCATTGGTCCCTATTTTAACATGTGGCATCATAATACTGTACTACATTCATAAGACGTGCTTAAAATATATTTAATGATTCAGTTTTAGTTGCAGTTTCTATTTATCTGTCATTTGAAAACAAAAAAATACTGTGATAAAACTAAATAATAAAAAGTAAAAAATTACACCATATAGTCAAAACTATGTTGACAGGCAGCATATTATCACAAAATCTATGGAAATTAATATTGCATCTGTTTTTGAAAAATAATGGTGAGAATTTAGTCAGCATAAAATCTAAATTGCCCCTCGTTTACTGTAATACAAGTTTCTTGTTGACTGTTGAATGTTATGAACGTTACTTATTAAATGATTCTTCCTTGCACATAATTTATTTAAAAAAAAGGGTTCAAAACACCTAGTTTTCAGTCTAATCAGTTCCCAATGGATAAAATCAAGCCCCGTCCTATATTATTTTCTCATTGACTATCTTCTTTGACTCAAAAGTTATGTAAATTGGTTTGCAAACAGCATTTCATGTTGACTTTAGGTCTTTGACACACCTCTCAACACATGGCACATGCATCCATGTGAAAAGCATTGCAAATAATAGCACAAAAAAAAGTTGCATACAAAAATAAAAAGGTAGTGTTTCTGACATAATCAGTCATTAAGTATGAAACTGAATGCACTTCATATTGATCACACTTACGTAATTAACGTTTTGACTAGAACAATTTTACACTATTAGGGTTTTTAATATGATCACAACGACTGTAGGAAGTCCAGGACTGCCTTATGCCAGGTCTCTGGATCGTCAAGGTAACAAGGATGCCCCGCCCCCTTCATTACCACCACTTTGTGATTGGGCAGATGTCTCAGGTTGCTTAGCGATGCTTCCCCAAGCTGAATATCCTGGTCTCCATAAACTATAAGAGCTGGAGTCTGTACAGGTACATAAGGATGAACATCACTCATTTTTAGCACATTTTATAATAGATGGATGTGTGTTTCTGTTTGTTCTCTGATGGACTCATTCCTGTCTCACCTGCACGCTGCTGTACTGCTCTGCTGTGAACTTCTCTGTGCAGATGGGAGCTACAGGGATGTAGGCCTTGACCTGCTCGGAGTGCTGGAAGAGGAACGGCAGTGAGTACATGCCGCTGAGAGAAGGACTGATGATCACCACGGGGCCGGTCTGCAGAGCCTCAGACACCTGTCTGAGGAACACACCTGGAGCCGGCTGACCCACTGGAGCCGGAGCCGGAGCCGCCTTAGAATGACCCAAACCTGAGGGAGCAACGACACAAATGAGCGGGTTTAGGGAGAAATCAGTGCGAGTGTTAAAGTACTACATATCTATCTATCTATCTATATATACTGTATATAATTTTATTCCAGATGTATTATTTAATATATAAATATGTATTTTATATAATAGGTTACTTTAAAGTGTTAAATAGTATCATATTTATTTATAACAGGTAAATATAAAATCTAAAATTTTTTTTTTACCGTAAATATTAACAAAAAGGGCCATGGAATTACAACAGGTTTTAAGATGGCAAACTTATGGCAATTTTTGCCAGAACACAGAATATTTGTAATGGTTGCTGAAACGGATCTATATAGTAGTAGATTTTTATACACTTTAAAAAAAAATGAAAATATACAGTATTTTATTTTATATATTCTGTATATGTATATATATATATATATATACTGTATATTTGTATATTTTCAGTTTATATTAGCGCTATATTTAAAAAATATATAAAAAAAAATTTTATAAAAAAAATATTTATATTTATATGAAAAATATTTATATTAAATGCTTAAATGTTATAATTGTTTCTAATAGTTAAATATAATTACAATGGATGGATGTAAAGTAGGCTATGTAAATACCATGGTACGTAATGATAATTATCCAGTACTATGTATGGTATGTTTAAAGTACCATAGTATTACCATCTACTATAATCTCTGTACCATGGTATCATCACCGCAGTATTTCTGTAGCACACCTGGCAGGTCGATGGCCACAGCTCGGTAACCCGCGGCAGCTAGAGTCTCCAGAGTCCCGATCTTCAGCCAGGTTTCCGACGAGAACCGGATCCCGTGCAGCAGCAGGACGCAGAGTTCGGCGGCACCGCTCGACGGAAGCGTCTGTCGGTAGAACAGCGGCTGATCTCCGCAGGTCTCCACCCGAACCGAGCCTTCAGACATCTCAACCGAAGACATGAATCAAACGAGAGCGAGACACAAGAGCAAAGTTCACGAGCAAAACACGCTGAGCGTTGATTTCTGCGGAGATCTGAAGGAAGTAACAGAAGTTGGAATAAGTCACAATACATGAAGTATTTCATCAATTCGGTTTGTAAAAGTTCAATAATTCACCCATGAACCTGAGTATGACATAGTAAAGTATTTTTTTTACCAGTGTAAACTGCTGCGGAGGTTTGAGTCCCGGAAGATTCTGTCAGTTTTTACCAGAGAAACACACTGTCCTCTAGCGGCTAACTTATCAAAATACAACCTCCATAAACGAACATGATTTCTCCACATCACCTAGCGTAGCCTATTTTATGCTAATTATTCATTCATAATTTATAATTGGATGACTAAATTCCACGCAGCTTTTAAAATCACTATGCTGTTACTGAATTAAAACGATCCTAACATTTCATGCATTAGCCTAATTGTTTTGGATTATTTTAAATATGTTCGGTTTTTATTTACGGTAAATGGCTCATATTTAGCGTTTCACACGTTTTCCATTTGTAATAAGATGGAGATTGAAATGTAAAACGCTATTTATATATGAGCTAGACCTACTTGTCGATGCGAATGCTGATTTGATTTGACACCTTCAGTGAGAATCGGTTCCTGATCACTTCTGAATGGAGCGAATGGAGCCGTTTACACATGTTTAAAGTGTGGTTTAGTGTTATATAATTGTGGTCAGATCAGCTACAAACCTGTAATATCAGGTGTAAATGGGCCATCGTGTCAAACAGCGCTCTTACGTTTTAAGTAGTGAACGAATCGTTCTCGTTCACTGCTGTCATATTTTTCGTTCACTGAAAAGTCTATAATTTATTGTGTAATCGTGTATTTAAGCTACTATTCAGTTTTCTTTTTTTATTTTGATAAAGCCATGCTCTTGGAAAAAATTATCGAAATGAAGGTAGGAATTAATTTGTAAGGAAAATGTATTTTTCGGTTTTGGTCGTGAAAGACTCGAAATAAAAGTGAATCAGTTAAATGATTAAATGACTCACTCAAGTGAATGATTAAATGACTCACTCAAAAACAGTTGTCTTTGACGCGAATGATGGGGAAATTCGTAACATTCAAATTATTAAGAAAAAAGATGGTTGATATAAAATAAAAAGTAGTTATTTATTAGTAGTGGTAGTAGTAGCATATGCCTATTTACTTAACTAATTTTGATAATTATTAAAATAATTGTATTAATACCACGAATTTTAAGTTATAATAATAATAATAATAGGCTTTGTTATTATTATTGTTGTTACTATTATTATCAGTTTTGTTGTTTTTGGCATATGTTTGAGGTAAAGAGTTGTTTACTTTAGCCAGATTTATTGGGAAATGTCCTGTTCTGTCAGGTCAGCTGAGGAGTAAACACACACACACACACACACACACACACACACACCACCCCCCTTCATCAATTCAACCATTCAAAAAGAATCAAAGTCCTCAGATGAGCTCTGCTGTTGGAGTAAAGCAGCTCTTATAGCATGATTCCACTCTTCTTTCTCACAGCTCTGCTGCTTTGGCCTGACACAGTTCATGGTAAGATCAATATTTTGATACATTAAATATTGTGTTTTAAGGTGAATTGTTTTTAGACAGCCTAATTGTTTAGACTCCCCAAACAGCCAACAAACATAAGTTACTCCATTCACCATGTTTCTGCTCAAACACCATAAGTACTATAATAAAACTATGGGTAGTATTATCCACCACTGTCATAAAACTAATTTACAGACGGAATCTGAAAGTTCCCTAATCTTAAAGATCCTATAATAATTAATTATTACTTTACAAGGAATTACAATTGATATTTTGGCCGAAACAATGGTATGTTTTTAAAGAACAGACTAGGTTGAGTTAAACAAAGTTCACAGTAAAAAAAATAAAATGCTTATAGAGAGATGTATTGCACTTTCTTGATATTTGAGTAACTCTTACAAACATTCAATGTGAAAACATGGAATTACCATGGTAAATTAATATGATTCAGTGCCGTGGTAACTTAGTGGACTTACACAGTATTCTTGTCGCATTTTATGTTATCAATGGCCTTTTTCATCATGTGTACAGGTACATATTCATATAGATGTTTAATGAATTCAGACATAAGCATGTGTGTACAGCTGTGAACTGGTTTCTGTGCCAGTTTCTGTGTACTGTGTAGTTATTTGGGCATCACTTCATGAGCATGCCATGCCACTGGGAATTTTGTGGAACAGATGTAGTTTACAAATCCAAAGGTCATGTGTGTTTAAGCCCCTCTGACACACACACACACACAGAGCGAGAGAGAGAGAAGGAACATTACAACATTTTAAGTTGGCACAAAGAGTTTGTCTGATTCACTAACAACATGCCAAAAAAGGTTACATGTTTTATAGACTGTGGCATGTTTTTGAACATGCACTGTAACAATGATTTCATTTTATTTTAAACAACATTGTTTTCATCTAATATCATTCATCTAATTCATTTATTTTTGGTTTTGGGAGTTTCAACTTGATTTTCTTTATTACTAAATAAATCCAAAGTGGTAAAATGACTAGTGCATCTTTCTGATGTGTTTTCACAGCATTTCGCAGCGCACTGAATGATTTCCAGCGATCCGAGGGGAGAGAGTTGGTTCTGAAATCCTGGAACGTCAACCGTCCGACTGAACTTCCGGGAATCACTTTGGAGGATTGTGCTAAACGCTGCACAGAGAGTCCAGAATGCAGGTCTCACATCCCTACTTTCCTTTCCCAGCATGCATTGCATGTATCAGCTCTGTACCCAAAACATCATTCTCACTATGTAGTTTAATGTTTTAAAAAAGAAAAAAAAAATCTAAATGGCCTTTTCCCACAAATAATTTCATTTGTTTAGCATTTATTTCCTTACTTTGTCTGTAAATGTGAAAAAGAAATATATTATTAAGTATACTTATTACCAAAATATGTACTTTTAAAATAATATACTTAAGTTCAAACTAAATGTAATGTTTTCGGCCACTTCATTTCATGTTATTTAAATGAAAATATATTATTTATTATGTTAATAATTATACATTTATTTTAAATGCAGTTAGCTGAACTTCGCTTTTTTTTTGACCCACTTAAGTAGGGCTTTAATATATCTTTATATGTAATTTCATAATTACTTCTATTGTCTTTTGCAATTTTGTACAATGTTAACCTTAAATATAATATCAAATAACACACTACTGTTAAAATTATAATCAAATACTTCACTTGTGCTTAATATGTTAGTCAACACATCAAAATAAGTGTACATCCTTAAAGCATGGCAAAGTTTATTAAAACAGAATGATTTAAAATGCAGCACTTTTAATTTGGCATTGTTACAAACTGCACTTTCTAAAAGTGTACTTAAGTGTGTTAAAAAACAGTCATGAAACGGTCTGTCTTTAAGTACACTTAAATGGCCTTTTATTTCATTAATATTATATTATCTGCAAGTACATCTTTTTTAAAATACTTTAAAAATATACCGTTAAGATTTAAAGCACACTTCAAGTACACATTGAATGCACTTAAGCACACTTCTTTTAAACAAGGGAATGCAATATGTATTTTTGATGTGTTTTTGAACTTTCCAGAGCTTTCAATTATGAGTTTCGTCCGTCTTTGGTGTGTAAACATCTGCCTTGGGTGGGCGACAGAGACAATGCAGACGTCAAGAGAAACGTGAACTGTGACCTTTATGAGATGAAAGGTGACAAATAGATTCTCAAAAGTATTAGACAGTTTGAAAGATTATAAGGAGATGTACTATGTCATCAGTCATTAAAAACCCATATCGCTTAACCACCACTTATGATATAAGTGCCTCTGTGTCAAATGTTCTGCTGTACTCAGTCTATGTAAGGAAGTGCATTGTGGGTAAAGGAGAAGACTATCGAGGGAAAGTGTCGACGACTAAGAGTGGACGAACATGTCAACAGTGGTGGTCCAAATTCCCTCATGATCACAGGTATGAGATTAGACATAGCATACAGTATGTTGCATAAACTTTATGTAAACTATATTTGTATGTGAAATATGTTTTTTAATTATTATTAATTGTAACATAGCAGTACCTACTAAATTCTTACAATGGCCCGTAAAGGTATTTGGACACTTTTGTTTGGGGCAGTCATGGCTTAATGGTTAGAAAGTCAGACTTGTGACCCAAAGGTTGCAGGTTCGAGTCTTAGGTGGGGGGAGTGAATGACCAGCGCTGTCTTCCACCCTCAGTACCACAACTGCTCTCCGGACTCCGGTTGTATGTTCACAGTGTGTGTTCACTACTCACTGCAGAGCACAAATTCCGAGTATGGGACACCATACTTTTTTTTTTTAAAAACAACCTTTTTTTTTAAAACTGTCTGAATGTAAATGCATTTGATACAAAATATAAAATCAAGTTGCATCTGCAAACACACATTTTTTCCCGTTGGAATAGCATGCACTGATAAATCATGCACAAAAAGATCAAGTAAAGAGGGTCATTTTTATGTTGTCCAAATCCACTGTGCGTGGTTAACAAAAGCAAATATATTAGTAGTTTTTGTTAAACATGATGTGATTGTATTTAACATGCCATTTAAAAGTTTGGAATTGGTAAGATGTGTTTGAAGGAAATCAAAATATTCTCACCCAGGCTGCTTTTATTTGATCAGAAATATTATTCAAATTAAAAAAAATAACTTTTCTATTGTAATATATTTTCAAATGTAATTTATTCCTGTGATGCGAAGCTGAATTTTCAGCATCATTACTCCAGTCTTCAGTGTCACATGATCTTCAGAAATCATTCTAATATGCTGATTTGCTGCTCAAGAAACATTTCTGGTTATTATCAATGTTGAAAACAGTTGCGCTGCTTCAAATTTTTGTAAAAACCGTAATGCATTTTTTCAGGATTCTTTGAATAGAAAGTTGAAAATGTACTGTCACTTTTAATCAATTTAATGCATCCTTGCTGAATAAACAGTAGTGAATATATATTTTACTCTAAGATCCTTTTAATGACTGAATGTGCAACTGCGATATTAGAATGATGTCACCACTGTTTGGAATAGATGGACTCCGTCTGCTACTAATGGCCTGGAGCTGAACTATTGCCGTAATCCGGACGGCGACCCCATTGGAACCTGGTGTTACACCACTGACCCTGAACGCAGATATGAGAGCTGCGACATTCCCCAGTGCAAAGATGGTAGGGCCAGTTACACGTTTGCATTGTGGTTTTACTTTCATAAGCATGTTCTGAGCAGATGTTTGTGTATGT